ATATATACCCCCATTCATGCCACAGGTTTGCTGAGCGGCGAGATTCTTATAAGAATGATGGTGGTTTACTTGAACCTCCTTCCAATCAAAACCTAGTTATTTCATGTACATGTTTAGAAACCCGGTTCTTAGAATAATAACCTGGTTATTTTTGATAACCGACAAATTAAGCGGTTCAGGTTTCTCTAGGTATGTATATGCACATCTATACATGTACGTGTACATGCATGTAATCTTATGTACATGTAACATGTACATGTAAGTATGTAGGAACTTTATGTATGTACGTAAGTATGCATGCATGAATGTACGTAAGCATGTGGGTATGTGCGTTTCGTAAGTAAAATTTCCGCTGCGTCGAGTTGAGGGTTGCGGGTGTTTTCACTAGCGCTTTAGGATTGGTTAGGGCTTAGGGTAACCCGAAGGACCAATGCACATGGTATATGGGTAGCTCTTTAAGTTAGGGTCCTGTGTATAAGGGTGCCGCCTTGTTTGGGGTTCCTAAATGGGGACCCTGATTAAGAAAACTACCCATATATTCTGCTTGGGCACTGGCTCGGCAGGAATCCGACTCAAGGCACTCTGGTGCAGTAGTTCGGACCTGTCGACCTTCTAGATGATACACTTGGGGTTTCGGGGTGTACTCTCTCGCAAAACGGTAATCGGTATCATGATTGACTTTAGATCACCCCCTCGGATAGAAGTTCGAAGTATTTACAAGTCGTGCAGCGTTCTCTCGGCTTTGTGCGGTTGGCACGAAGTTTTGTAGTCAGAACTCCTTGTGAAAGATTGCCTTCACGTCAGTCATCTTGTAACCAGGCGCACCAACCGTAATTCTTCGAGGGGAAGCTGCGTCGATGTAAAATGCCTAACTCTCGCGGAGCTATGTGCCATGTAAACAACCGCTTGGTTTGATGCAATACCGAAGCCAAAAATGCAGCAATGTGATCCTTATCTTATGTCTTATGTTCATTGATGCGTGCGGCTAGCGTATGTTATGCCATCGTATGCCAAACATCTGGCTAAACCCTAAACCCTAAAAGTTCGGCCGACAGCTGCTTAACCCTAAACACTAAACCAATATACTAAGATCAGGTTAGACTTGTGGGGATCCCTAGTGAGGGTTTTGACATTCAAGGCTTCAGTTTGTTAAGAAACCCTGAACCCGAAACCCTAAATCCCAAAGCCCTACCCTAAAACCCCAAACCCCCCAAAACCGTTGGGATTAGGTCCAAAGTTTAAGTTGTTTGGTGGTTCAAGGCTTTCCCGGCACGAAGCCCGTCAGCAAGAGTAAAGCCTTTTCGCAGCGGCTTTCACCTTCGCCTGGTCGCGGAAACCCAAGAAAAGCCTTGAAAGGGATCCTACGGAAACCCTGAAAGGAACACGGAACCCAAACCCGAAACGCGGGTCCCAAAAAGAAGCCCGCATGAAAACCCCGAACTATAAACTCTGAAACGGGATGATCCCGAGAAAACAAAACCCAAAAGAGAACCCGAAACCTTAAACCCTAAACCCTATCCAACCCATACGCCCTGAGTCCCTAAAGCCTGGGGGCATGGGCGGGCTGAGCTTCGTAAGTTCCGGGCTTTCAGTTCCAGCAACTCACTTCCTCAATAAGCCAGGGAAATAAAAGGTTAAACTTTCAATTGCTACTAAATTATGAGAACCGAAAAAGCTCAAAGGTTGGGTATTGGGAACTGAGGCAAGGGTGTGGGGTTTAAGGATTTAGGGTTTATGGTCCTAGGGTGTTAGGGCTGTAGGGCTTCATGGTTTTTGGGCTTAGGGTTTCGGGGTTCAGGGTCTTTTGGGGCTTTACTCTCTTCTTCAACAACCAGGCCCAAAAAAGTTCAAACTTTTTACAATAGACCTTATATAGAAGGCCAGAAAGTTTAAAGTTCTCCCATTGAGGACCTAAGTTTAGGGCGTTTAGGGTTCAGGATGGTATAGGACTTGGGGGTTTAGGCCTCCCGGGTTCTGGCCCAGGAAAATGTCGGGGCCAATATTCCCTAAGGTTGCATGTAATGCGGCCGCTAGTAGGGGTTGCTCTAAGGGATTTAGGGTATAGGGTTGAGGGTTACTTTAAGGCTTTCAAACAAGGGAATGAACTGTACTAGTAGCTGTTGAAGAGTTCCATGAACCCTCGAAACTGGGATTCAGACTCCCGCTTAAGGCTGTAGAACTGAGCGTTTGTCATTACATGGTGGAACAGGCCGAAATTTTGCACGAACTGCTACAAACCCAATGCACATTGGACATGAAGAGTAAAGGCAGAAACGACGATAAGATAAGGTAAAACCAACTAGGCGAGGCTAGGCTAGGCTGAGCTAATCTGGAAATGTAGGATAGAGTGTCGACAAGATATAGGTGGGTTAAGGCTGATAAGACAGGGTACGCAGGCCAGGGGCATTCTTGGTGTACGCTCGCCCCCAATAGCCTTAGCAGTCGCCTGTCTATTCGGAAAAAGCCAAAATACGCGGCCTTGCCCTTCGCACCACCTTTGCCTTTGCCTGGCGTAGGGCATTCGGTCTACACCGAAACCCCGGTGGTCAAAGTAACAGTGCCGTACATACATTTGCAGGCCCAAATGGGAGTTTCCGCAAATTAGGGGTACCTTATGTTGGGGTCCTTATAATAAGGATCCTACTATTTGGGGTACTATATTAGGGTCCCCTATTTTCGGAAACCCCCAAATGTCTGCTAGAAGCCTACTGTGACTTGGTCCATTTGAGAAAAGTTGTGATCAGCTTTCAAAAGCTGCAGAAGCGTTATGATGCTGGGTTTAGGGTTTAGGGTTTAGGGCTGGAGCACTTCTAGAGCCGTTAGCCAAGAACTCAGCCCAAGAGCGCACCCCCGCACATCAGAACCTAGAGACTCCAAAACCCCTTAATTAAGGACTATACCTTAAATCATATGAGGGATCCTATTATAGTCTAAGGTATATTCCTTAATCAGGGGGTTTTGGAGTCTCTAGGAACCACCACGCCCAAGAAAACACCTCGAAAACCTTTCGCTTAATCTGGAACCCTTAGGAACATGCGCAGGCACAACCCGGTCTCCCAACCCTGAACCCCAAGCCGATAATAATACTATAGGGGGCTTCATAATTAGCATAGGGTTCTGCGGCCCTTTATACTATATACTTATAAGAAGGACCCNNAAAATAGTATTGGTGACTATTTAAGCCCCTACTCTAGAGCTACAGCCGAACCCCGAAATCCTAAACCAACCCGCCCTTGAGTTCGACGGTAAACTTTAGGCTGAAACAAGTCTGAACGGAGGGTTCAAGGCTCTGGGGTTTCAGGGTTGGGGTTCAAGGATTCAGGGTTTACGGATTAAGGAGTAGGGTTTAGGGTTTTAGGACTCCGGTTCAATGGTTTAGGGCTTCGTCTGAACATGTCTGATCACCCCTTATACCAAAACGCACAGCCCTAAATCCTAAAACCCAAAAATCCTAAACCCAAAAATCCTAAACCCTAAACCCAAACCCCTAAACCCTAAACCCTGAAATCCTAACCCCTAAAACCTAAACCCAAAAATCCTAAACCCAAAGACCCTAAACCCTAAACCCCTAAACCCTAAACCCTAAACCCCTGAAATCCTAAACCC